GAATATTGTTTTCTTTCTAGTTTCTTTTAGAATACTTACTGGTCATGATTTATACACGTCTTATGAACAATGCGACATTTTCATTAGTTACGCTATTCGCAACGTTTATATATTTAGTAACGTGTTTAATGATGTAAAGGATTTTTCATTCATTTCCTTTTCACGTCGTGTCTCTGAAACCGAGATAAATCTCCTTTGATCCTACTATCCATGACTCTTTCGTCAAGCAAAGATTACGATACGTTTTCAATTAAATGTATTTTTATACATTCTAAATATATTGTGCAAAAATAAATATATGGTAAACCAGGTTTAACAGAGACACGTAGTCCGAATATAGTAAAGACCCAGAATTGGACATGGAACAATTAGTGTTGAGTAGGAGTGAAGTAATCGATTTTCTTTTAATTTCAACCTATCAAGTTCTTATAAAACAAATAATATTTAACCAGTGAATATTCAAGCAGACAAAGCCGTGTGAGTAGCTTTCACCTGAACTCATAGATCGGCTCAAAGCCATAACCTTATACGTATAAGGCGCAGAGGTATTTTGAAACATTTTTAAAAGAAAAACTCTGCATTATATAGGGATAAATATGGTAATCAACAGTCTTGAATAACCAAGTCATACTACCCTGGAGTTATATAAGTGATATTACTACTGTTAAGTGCTTGAAAAATCAGTTGTACTTGCAAGAATTCCTACAGGCGGTAGTGAAGAAAAGTGGGAAGAAACAACTAAACACCAATTGCAAGAAGATTAAATGCATGTTTTTTATTTTGTTTTGTTTTTTGTTTTTTTTTTTGTTCGTTTTTTTTTCTTTTGTTTTGTTTCTTTGTTCGTTTTTTTTGTTTTGTTTTTTTTGTTCGTTTTTTTTTTTTTGTTCGTTTTTTTTGTTTTGTTTTGTTTCTTTGTTCGTTTTTTTGTTTTGTTTTGTTGTTTTTTTTTTGTTGTTGTTGTTTTTGTTGTTGTTTTTTTGTTTTGTTTTGTTTTGTTTTTTGGTGGATTTTGTTTTGTTTTGTTTTTTGTTCTTTTTTTTGTTTTGTTTTTTCGGGGTTTTTTGTTTTTTTGTTCATTTTTTTTTTTTTTTTTTGTTTTTTGAAAAAGGAACAGCCTAACATGCAATTACAGATTGGAGTTAGCGAAATCAAACAGGCACAACAATTTAGATATCTGGGAAGCGTATTAGCAAAGTACTGAAAGCGCGAAACGATAATCTGTAGACGCATTGGGATAGCGAAAGATGCCTTCCAAAAGCCGAGCAAAGTATTAAGAAACAGAAAAATATCATTAGAAACAAAGAAAAGAGTACTGAACTATTATGTAGTATCAATCCTCCTATATGGCACTGAATATTGCCATAAATGAAGAAGAGACTTGAAGCAACAGAAATATAGTTCTACAGAAGGATGCTGAGAATACCATGGATTGAACATGTGAGCAACAACAAAGCTTTAGAAACAATGGCAATATAACCATAACTTCTTCCTCTTCTCTTTTTGGCCAGTCTCTAGCTCTGTGAGCTTTGTTGAGTAATACCGACCTTACATGTCATCCGGCTTTTCCCATCCTCTGTTAGAGTCAGTGTGTTGTCTCAATAGGGTTGACTCAAGTTTTCCCAAATCTTACGATATTGTATTGAGGCGAAGTCTAGTGTGGACCCCTCTGCGTACGTTGTGCGCCACAGACAAGACTGAGTAATTCCTGTCTATGGCCGTAGCAACTTTTATCTCTTTGCGTCCAAGTAATCAATTTTACTCTTATACCATTTTTACAATAATGTCCAACCTGTACAAGGCTCACGAGATAAAGGGTTACAAAGTAAGAGGCACCTTTTGATGGAGATATGTGGGGAAGATGACGTTTAACTCTAAACTTGAACATGTTAACATTGCAGTGACCGAGGAAACATCCTCTTGGGAGTCGGTACAGTAGCAGTTCGTGGGAAGAAGATTCTCGAGTGGAACTTACATCTCACCATTGGAATACGAGGGGAATGGTGGGAGTTCGCCACAGGTCAGCCGTGAAGGTTAGGACTGGTGAAACTAAGGAATGCAGTCTGTTTGAACACTTTACATGGAAATAGTGGTAAAGCAGTGAGAGGCTTGCGACGTATTGTCTGTTAGAAAGTGATTGTGTCGGGGAAAATAATTAATTATCCACAAGAACGCGAAGATGATTTTAGGTTCTATATTTCATTTTCGGCCTGATCTGATTCTTGGAGTCAGGTACTTGTTGGAATGGTACAGGAAACCGACGATTTTTCCATATCTTTAGTACTGGATCGTGTGTTCTCTGTATTTCGGCAGCAAAAGTTTTTAAGTCGTATACTACTGAAAACGATAGAAATGTTATACTGATTAATTTTGAAGATCATCTTTTCCAAATTTATGAATAATCCTTCTCAAACAAGGAGAAATTCCGTCAATAATTCTAACGTTTAACCCCTAACAGCTTATTTAAAAAAAAAAAAAAAAAGAAGAAAATTAGTAGTGGTACGATTTCTAAAATTTTATTTAAGTCACAAATTTGCCTCTACTTGCCCTGGTGACTACTTAAGAAAGTCGAAAACTGGGACCATATTACTTTTACTTTTTTTCCCCGAAATGACATTTGGACAATTCTTGACGAAAACTCCTCTTTGTTTGAAACAGACTGTTTATAATTTGGAAAAGACGATCATTATAATTAATCGATATAAAATTTCCGTCGTTTTCAATAATATATATGCAGACACACACGCACAAACAATATTAAAATATAAATAAAATCTTAATGTAAAATAAACTGAAAGTAAATTTCTGTATCTAGTTAAATCGTCCATTTTTTTTTAACAAAGATCAGAAATATCCTTTTAAGACCTTCAAAATAAACATTAAAAAAATCAAAATATTAAAAAAACTTAAGAGACAAACATTCAAATATGTATTTTTATTATCAGCTTTTAAAATTTATCTATTTAAAACAATCTATTTTTTAACACTACCGCAATTACTTAGATAACGTAATACTTGACAAACAAAATTGTTACCCATTTTCCACTTTAAAATTTTAGAAAACTTTTAATTAATCGATAACTATAAAAAAAAAAATCAATTTCATATTATTGTGGTTAAACTGAAGAATATTTTACCGAATTAATCGAGCATTATGCATCACTAATCAAATTTCGATTTTTGGATGCGCATTAATCGATGGATTTATATATATATATATATATATATATATATATATATATATATATATATATATATATATATATATATATATATATATACGGTAGCAAAAATACTGTTACAAACTTTGGAGACCCTTCCCCACACCAAAACAAGGACAAAAGTCTATATAAAAATATGTCAGCAAATCTTTCGTTTTTGAAAGAAATCTGAGTTCTTTCCCCTGAAAAAATCTGGAATGTTTTCAACTTCGTATTTGCTTTTGAGAGTATTTACCCACTTATGAAATAGTAAATTTTCCGTAACAAATGAAAATCTCTAGGTGCTAAACTTGGTGAGTATGGAGGATGTATAAGGACCCCTACACACACTCAATTCTAATTATTTTAATTTGTCTTGGGTTTGTTTTTCAGATTGTGCCATTGTCATACTGGAACGTAATTCCTTGTTTATCAAAGCAGGATACTTTCGATGTAATTTCTTGGACTTAGGTTGCCTTGCCTTTGCATAATCGTACTGGAAAATAACATATTCTCTGTTTACCAAAGCAAAAATAATTGTAAACACCTTCATTTTCAACGACCGTACCGCAACGTAGTAACAGATTAAGAAATAAAGAACTTGAAAAGAAACTTTTTCTTAATATTCTGTTACTTTATGAAATGTTCTAGTGATCGAAACAAATGAAAATATTTAGGGGGCTAAATCTGATGAGCATGGAGGATGTGGAAGAAACGCTCATCGTAAAGATCTTATTTTTTTGGTGGGGTGGGGGGTCGTTTTGCAGACTTAGCCTTTACATTATCATCCTGGAGAATAAAATAAATCTGTTTATCAAAGAACACTTTCGGTGTATTGCTTCGTTTACTTCAAAGCTCATTAATTATTCCATAGTTCGATATTGTGACATATTCTATATATTGTTATATATTTTATATATCTAAAGAATTAATGGACATTATTTTTTTTAATCTGACATTTTTATTACTTCAAATGTTAATTTTTTTAACGGACACCTGTATACTGAAATACGGGTATCCACAAAAATATCGTTTGAAGTAATAAATATATTCTATGCATGTATATATGCTTGCGTGTTTGTGTATCTGTGGGTGTTTACATATATATATATATATATATATATATATATATATATATATATATATATATATATATATAGTGTGTGTGTGTGTGAAAAAGTTATCTTGTGAAGCGTTTCGTCATTTAGCACTTCATCGTTAGAAGTTTGTTTATGTTGATTCAACTGTACATGCGCATGAACAAGAGATGCTGGGAATTTTAATTTAAAAATAATAAAATCATAGATAGATAGACAGACAGACATATAGATAGACATACATATATAAAAAAAAGATATATATATATATATAGAGAGAGAGAGATATAGCTATATATATATATATATATATATATATATATATATATAAGAGAGAGAGATGAATATATTGATATATAGCTATATATATATATATATAGATAGATAGATAGATAGATAGATATACATAACGCCTCTGGAAATACATATTCATAGAATTTAACATATTTCAAGTATTGAGTTATTAACTGATATCACATAAATTTGCAATTTGTTTGGAGTCTATAATTATCTTTTCTTATGTAAATTATAAATATGACATCTGATTATAATTCAATAGCTTTATCTGACCCTGATGACCGTTGTGTTCGTGAAAATTTGAAGTTGGTTCAAATATCAGTCATTTAAATTTTCATTAATTGATTCTATTAAAACCCTATGCGTGAATATTTTTTATTTTCTATAATTCTACCGACGTTTTTTACAGGGAAATTGGACATGTTCTACGTAAAAGAACTGTTGGTTCCGGATATCGATCTCAAATCGATCATTTTAAATCCACTTGATCCTCCGTTGGGAAAAGGCAGTTTTGCTACAGTGTTTGCCTGTCATCTGCGCACTCCTGATGGCGATCGACAGGTCGCCATGAAAGCCTGGAGCGAAGAACTCAGTCCAAACAATGTATCAGACACTTTACTGGAAGATAGTATACTGAAGTAAGTAAAAAATGACACTACAGTCTTGATTACTTACCTTTGTCTTAAATTTAGATTATTTTTGTAAGATATTATTTGATTAACAATAAAGCTAGACAATTTATGACAGCTTTTACACATAAAATATCTCACTGTATCGAGTCTCTTCGTTGTGTATGTCTTTATGTAAAATCAATTGAGGCCGGGCTTTGTTTCAGTAAGACATTGCGAGGCTACACACTGCTAGGTTGACTAAGGAAAAGTTCAAACAGATGGACGGTGTTTAGATTCTTCCCCATCCACCATTCAGTCCCGATGCTACTCCGAATGACTATAGCCTATTCCGCTCAATGGCACACTTCCTCCGCGAACAACGATTTAACACTTTTGATGAAGTGAAGCAAGCTTGTTTACAGTTTATTCAAAGGTAGCGGACAAATATCTGGTACACTCAAATTTAAGTATTAGTTAACTGAATTTTGTAAATCTAATGCTTACTTTTTGTTTAAAACATCAGGAAAATAACGTTACGCACGGTAACCTGTGAGATGTCACCAGTCATAGTCCAGAAACGATAGATTTCTACTGTCATCCTTAACTCTTAAAAAACATAAGCAATTTTTTTTTTAATTTTAATAATATACAGAATACCAGCAGTGCAATAATCAAGAAATTGGTATTTATGTTTAAAAATTATTCTTCTAATATAAATAAAATAAACCGTCTTCTATAACCAATAGTTTAAGAATATAATTAAATTTCTTACATGTGGAGTGAGGAGTGCTGCGTCATGGCTTGACTACGGAACACCATTTAAGGTGAGGTAACTAAATATGTTGGAAAGATTTTACGAAATGAGTAGTAGAAAAAATAAAGGAAAGAACTATTAGTACAAAACTTGGCATTTCAAACTATCTATTGTACACATTTTAAAACGTTTGTGGAATATTCATAATTAATTTTATTAAGGTTTGGTTTCAGTTTTTAATATAAATAGCGTCAAGAATTTTTTATTTGTTTATTTTTCACCTGAAAAAGTACGAAGGTATTTTCGACCAGGATTTTCCTGAGTTGCGAATGTGAACAGGTATGTTGTTGTAAATGTTTAGAAATGTTTGACGTATAATTCAAATGAAAACTTAGCCGCCGTAAGAGCGTTGTTGTCGTGTGTCCAACATAAATATTATTTTTACTGTTGGAGGACATTTAAATTTATAAACAATGTTGGTTTTCTGCAATACACTAGTGGGCGGGAAAGAGTCATTACGAATGATTTTATTAGATATAGTGGATTTAGTGCAGTACAATTTTATTTTTTTACTAGGATCCGTGTTGGATATATTAGTTTTTATTTTTTTAATGACATTTTCGTCTTACTTATAGTTAGCATGCATTTGGTTACGATATAAAAGGTTGATATGTTTGGTATTTGTACTAATAGTTCTTTCCTTTATTTTTTCTACTGCTCATTTCGTAAAATCTTTCCCCCAACATACCTAGTTATCTCCCCTTAAACGGTGTTCCGTAGCCATGCCATGACGCAGCACTCCTCATTCCACATATAAGAAATTTAATTTTCAGATGATCACAACAATTTTTGTTTTTCACAACAATGAACACTACAATACTTATCCTGAAATTAACAATACCCTGATGATGACATTGTGCTATGTCGAAAGTACTCGGAAATAAATACAATATGTATCAACACGTTGTTTTCCTCTCGTCTTTCAATAATCACACAAAAAAGCTTATCCGTGAATATGAAAGGACCCCATAGAGAATAAGTAGACAGAGCATGTCTAAATTATTCAATGAAACATGTCTCAATGAAAACATGCTGCCGAAATATACGCATTTTAGATAGATACATACATATGCAGAGAGATAGATACATACATACATCTGTAGATATGCATACATATGTGAATAGATAGACAGATAGATATGTACTTAGATAAATATAAACTTAGATATTAACGAAGGAAAGATAGATGAGTAGATAATAGCAACAGATCGATAATGAAAGACAGATAATAACAATAGTTAGATAATATCGAAATATATATTTAAATAATAACAATGGATAATGACGAAAGGACTTATAGACAATAACGAAAGATAGATAAGCACAAGAAATAGATAATAGCAATAAATAGGTAGGTAGACATCTTGCCACCTGCATACTATAAAATTCAATTATGACTTGTTTTTATTTTAGAGAAATCAAACATCGTAATATCGTTGAATATTACGGCTGTTCCTACCGTCGCCTTCGTGATGGAGCTTTGCAATGGTTGATGATCATGGAATATTGTCATTCGACATTAAAGAACGTCTTTCTGAGCGAAAACAACAAGAACGAGGTGAACCCATCCAAGTTTGGCAAAAACCAGGGCAAGCAAAATGAGGTCATAAAGAGCTTGTCTTATTATGCTGTTCAAGTGTGTGAAGGTTTGGCCTACCTCCACGGAAAAAACCTCGTTCACAGAGACTTAAAGATGGAGAATGTTTTAGTAAGTATTAAACCCTTGATTTTCACTTCTTTATCTATGTGCAGTGTCCCTTCAGGACTTGGTCGATTCTGGGTCTCCACAACTTCCTGTCCGTTGGCTTCTTTTTTGTTTTGTTTTGTTTTTTTTTTGCTCTCTTAATCCCTCATTTATACAAGCTTGTTAGGAAAGTTATTCGCTGCTGTTCTCTGCCCCCCCCTTGCATTCACTAGATCCTTTGAGTATCATATTCTCTAAGTCCTCTTTCCTCATTAAGGCGATTTTCTACATGTGGCACAAGGCCGAAACTATGGGGCAACCAGTGAGGATCGAATTCAATATTCAGTTGTAATTGATCCATCGAGACAAGCTTTCTAACCATTACACAACGTCGAAGTTCCTAATAAACGATTTTCTAAGCGTATTCTGGATGTGGCACAAGGCCGAAACTATAGGACACCCAGTAAGGATCGAACTCTGTTCATCCGTAATTGATCTATCAAGACAAGCTTTCTAACCATTACACCACGTTGAAGTGCACTGATCTTTCCTCATTATGTGCCCGAGAAATTTCAACTGTCTCTTTCTGATTGCAAAGTATGTGTCTTTTTAGTTTCCACCGTCAGATCTAATACAAGACTTCGCACGGCACTGAGTCTGATAAAGAGAATAGGGATAGAAAGAGCCGAGGAGAACTTTCCAGCCTAGAAAATCGGCATTCGATATACTTGCTTTTAGTTGGGCTCGAACTCTGATACTGCTTGAAAGTGTATAACTACTTTAATATTTGTTACTGGCATTTTATAGTAATAGGCTTACGGCCATATCACATTGAAACCCCTGTTCTCGTACGATCATCGATGTTAAGCAATATTGAGTCTGATCATTACCTAGATGAGTGACCGTTTGAGAATACCAGGAGCTGTAAGGTTGGATGTACGGGTGGTGTAATAGATAACAGGTCGGAATTGGAAAGCGGGGACTCGAGTTTCAATTACAGTCGGGTTCGTTATATTCTCCTGTACGCAAATAACCTTGGGAAAAGTATGAATCCACCTCTCCCCCTCCAGATATGGAATAATTAGTAATACTTGTATCAGTAAATCATTATTATCTAAAAAAAAAAAAATTCTTACAAGCTAAAAAATATTTTCTGGCTTTAAATAACCTACAAAAGAGTGATAAGCCGTAAAAAAGGCAAATCAGTCAACTCATATGACCCAAATCCAAATAAGTAGCGTGAGAGCTGGCCAAAAATTGCTTGCTTTACTATCATTATTCTTGCGCCAAATAAATGATTACATGAGCAATTTCATATATGGATCTCAGCTGCACCATCCTAGAATACTGCAGTGGGCTCTTATAAGAGAAGGTTTTGAAATTGCAAAATTCAAATTCTATCAGCATTTGCCCCTGTCCCGATCCGAACATCGTCTGCCTTAAGCTATATGTTTAATGTTTTAGAAAGCGATGATTATAATTTTTTATAAGTAAACACATGAAAGGTGATTTACACGTTTTCTTTTATTCTTGGGAATTGATAACAAAGATATTAAACACTGTCTATTTATTAGACTGCTTATTTACAAGAATAATTTTATATATTTATTTAGGGATTTGCTTCGGCAATTAGTTGGAGATTCGTCTCCAGCTAAGCTAGTCGAACTCTCTGCCTTTGAGCAGACGAGGTTATGCCGAAGGGCAGAGTCTCGTCTGGGGTGATAGACAGTTACCCGACCCCGTTTTATACGGGGTCTACGGGGAATTTTTGCCCGAGCCTACGGGCACGGATACCCCACGATAAATTCGGCCTTGTGCCACATCTGACCGCATGGGGCGGTTGGCAAATATCTTTATATATTTACAAGATTATAAAAATATGTGAACCAACTTTAATAAAATATTTATTATTTAACATTTTATAAAGAAGTAAATATGAAAATAATTTTATTCATAAATTTATAAAAATGTCTGTGAACAAGAAAATTAAAATAAACACATAACGACGAGTAAATGTAATTATAAATTTTTAAAAAATGTATTTTCCAAGAAACTTATATTTGCTCTCACCACATAAGTTCACTAAAATAGATTGAGAGTATCTCTTCCCCTTAAATATTTTGATAATTTTGTAATTTTTTAAATAAAATATTTATTTTCAAATTTATTTCTTTATAAAATGGTAAATAATAAATCTTTATAAAATTTAAATAATAAATATCGCATTGTACTTGGTTCATATATATTTATAATCTTGCAAATAAATATTGCCGAGTGAGTCAAAAGTGTATACAATAATAGCGGTGTCAAGGGAATAACTACCATTTTTAACAAACCGATCTTTTGGGTGTGTGTGGAAGGGAGGAACACGGAGGTTAAATATTTCCAACATTTGTATTCAAACATGCTAAAGATAGAATACGAAACACTCTCACACACACATATGAAAAGGGCAAATACAGCGTTCCTACAACCATGGCCAACTAATATTATATGGCCCCACATGTCACATAAGTTGAATTCTAACAGGCCGATGTAATGTAAACAAAAAATGTGAATGGCGACTTAGAAAACTGCTAATCTAAAAGGGAGGTAACTTTAAAAATTGAATTCTTAGAACATAAATTAACAACGTAGAATTTATCAGACAATATTTCAATTCCCTAGACATGTTTTCAACACTAAAATGCATATTTACACCTTTTTTTTTTCACTAATCCACGAATTATAAAGGGCTGTGAATTACCTCGCTTTTATGATTATCAATTACGTCCCGTTTTGCAAATGAACGCTAATTTTTCTACCTCCATAATCCATTGAATAAAGATTAAATTATAAAGTTTGTTGTGATATTTTGTTTAACAAAAATGGTTAACAAATGTCTTGCATTTGCCTGTTCTAGTGGATATGTTACTAACAGCGAAAAAGTATCGACATTTTCTTTTCCTCTTGGAAAATCCGACTTCGTAAAAAATGGATAAAATTCGTTAATCGTATTGATTGGTCTCATACGAAAAATTCAGTTCTCTGTAGGAAACATTTTGAAGAGAAATTTATTTTGAAAGGAAAACGAAATAAACTGAATTGGGATTTACATCAAATACCTACAATACATTTAGAAAAAAAAGTTTCTCTTTTGCCGAATACAAGGGAATTCAGAAAGCCTCCAAAAACGATTGGTCCAAACTGATGAATTACATGATTTTATTTCAGCTGATACGATAAAGGATTTTACTCAATTGGAAGAAGCAAAGTGTTGTTGTGAGGGATTCACTCACATCATAGCAGCAGAAATTAGCCTTGTGTTCACGGAGATAAAAGCATACTTGACAGAAAATAAAACGTACACAAATAACAGGAAAAGCATGGTAAATTGGATGTTAATTTCATACAATTTATTTATATTTTTGTGTGTATTAGTGTGTGTA